GCCATTGCCATCCTCAAAACAACAATGATGAGCGAAAATACGAGCGAACAGATGAATTATGAGGAAATTTTACTAGAATTGATAGACAAACAGACATAGGGAATAGGGTAGAGAGTTCTGAATTTAGTCGCTGAAAAGAGAGCATATTAATTTTGGAAGCAAACACTTAGCTAATAAAGCCTTGAGCGATAAAATACATTCATAAAGGCTTTATTAGTTGAATTTCGGAAAAACAGCTTTCACAACATGGTAAAAGCATTAGTCCGTAGACCGCTCGATATTGCAATCGAAGGACCGAGATATATAGACATTTATGACATCATATTATTGGGAAGCTGAATGAGTTCGCGGCGTTTTTTTCAAACTTGGGAAAAAATATAAGACACCGGAAGTTTTGAAAAAAGCTCCAAACATAATGAAAGAAGAAGTCAGTCTACAAGCAGTATCTGGCTTATCTCTGATCCCAATTTTGCCATGAAAGTGATTTCGGAAATTTAAAGAGGCAAAAAACTCAATGCTATTTGAGACACGTGAAGTCCGAAAATTGCTATACCTAGTGGGGATTGCATGTGATTAAAAAAGTCATTCATCAGCCCCAGACCATAAAGAGCTTAGATTTATGACATGTATATTGCATAGGCCAAAATCGTAGATTCGCCTGATACTGAGGTTGCCACATGCTGGTTACGAAGTTTATATCCATTTTCGTAGCGAAGCCGAATCTACAGGGAGGTCCGCTTTTTGAGCTTTACATCGTACATCTACCGTAACCTCACAGTATCGGTCTATTATGCTTAATGGATATGATTTTAGATATCAGTATGCCAATGAACCGAAATAGACTATATATCCAATACGCAACTAGTTCTAAACATCTCTGAGCTTCTCTCATTCCAAATAAGTTGAAATTATTGGTCGAGCTTTTTTGGCCCTCTAAAATTCAAATTTAATTATCTCTAATTAAGCAAAACGAAAATAAGTGAACAAGGCAGCTATACTACATCTGCATCAAGTTAAGGGAGGCTGCTTCTTTCAAAAGACATACAGTGTGATGCCAAAATTCTTGATTTTTCAGAAAATTTGTGGGTTTGGAAAAACAACATGAACTTAATCAATAATCCATTAATACTAATGATTATCGGGGCAGCAATATTGAATGGAGTTGAATTTGTTATGCATCCTTGAGCTTTGTTAAATTATAATAAAAGGAAGAAGATTCATCTGTTGCGAAGGCTTAGATTATTTCACACAAAAATTTAGCCTAACCTTTCCTCGTCTCTTCTTACCAGCGCAAATCCAAAACGTATACTGAACATTTCGAAAAACGTGCATTTCAAATATTTTATAAATCAATAGCCAACAACTAAAATTTTTTTATAAGCATAGAATAACTCTATAATTACCCATTCTTTGTATCCTGTCATTTTTAGCTCTACATCATGCCGGAAGCAAAACTGTTCGAGAGTATTTACAACAATTTTCGTTTATTTGGCTCCGTCCTACTGCTGTTGGTTGGCATGATTGTTTTAGCTGGTGTAAAGGTACAATTCTGCCTGCTTAACAAATTTCCTTTGTTTATTCGTTGTCTTTTGTTTACATTCCTTTCGCACAAATTGTTGACATTCTATTTTTCTAGTGGAAAGGGATTTGCAGGTTTTTGCATCTGCATTTGGGGACCTTTCTTAAATTTGCACGAGTTTTTCAGGTGGTCAACAAATTTGCCTTGCCGCTCGTGTTCGTCGTGTTGCTATGTATATTTTCTGCATTTCTTGGTGCCTTCGTGAAATTCAATGGAACAGATCAGCTTAAGTAAGTTCTCGACGTGACGCTAATGGAATTTTCCAGGAACTTCTCATTTTCAATGAGAAGAATGTATATACAAAAAAACTCTATCGCGATGATTATTTGAATACGCCAAGAAGGAAACTAAATCAAAGATGAACTATTTGAGATATTTTTTCAAGTTGCTACTATATGCCTCTAACTCTCCTAATGAAAGGCATTCGATAACTGTGCCGCAGCATACTGGGCGGTCCTAATTGCAAAGTGCGGCATGATTGTTTCTTGTAGCGTACTAATTAGAGAATTTGAGTTCTATAAGTGATCTCGCGGCACCAGTATATCAGAGAAATGCAGAGGAAAAAATATGCTATTTTCAAACATTCTTCTAAAAAATTGATAATTGTGCCGCAGGGTGCTTGGCTAGTTAGGAGCGCCATTTGCGGCGTGGTTCACCTGCTCGTACTCCCGTAATTACCATACTATCAATAGATGATTTCAGATTCTG